AATAAAAAAATTTAAATTTTTTTTTTTTTTTTTTCAAATTATTGTAGCCTTGCATTTATCCGATTATGAGATTAAAAAAATATTTATTTATTTAAAAAAGAAAAAGAAAAATGTAGAAAAGGTAGCCTCGATTGGCAGAAACCATGGTTTGGAGGAGCATCCAAGGGCTGAGACTGAGATACGAGAGTGGTAAAGCCTCTTGTTTCCAAGAAAAACAGAGGAATCTCTGTAAAACCAAGGGGCTGCTGGGGCGCACCCCTCAATCTCTCTCTCTCTCTTCATATATATATATAATATAATCTTCTTCTCTTCCTGCTTCAGTGCTGCTCACTGCAACCTGCACACACAACTGACAACAAAAACAACAACAATGGAAGCTATTCAAGCCTGGGTTTCCCAACACAAACTCACCAGCATTGGTAACTCTTCAATACCATCTTTAGCCTTATTCTGGATGCCAAAATACTCCTTTTCATTCAATCCCTCTCTGTTTTTTTCTTACAGGAGCACTGTGGGCATCTGGGATCGGAGCATCCCTCGCCTGTACCCGATCAACAACTCCCCTCAAGCCAAGCCTCCGACTAATCCACGCTAGGTAACATCCCCCCCAAATCTCTCATTTCTTTTCATAAATTAAAATAAAAAAGTTAATCCGAGTGTTTGTTTTATAGGATGCATGCTCAGGCATTGACGTTGGCGGTTCTATCCGGCGCCGCCGTCTACCACTACTACGAGAACAAATCCGCCGTCGTACCGGGAGGACAATGAAGTGGATAAGCCGAGACTGGATTTCCAAGGGATGAATCATTTATTGTCAATTAAATGAAGAATATTAGATTCCATCCTTTTAATTAACGTGGATTACAGAGTATGAATTAAAATCTGAAAGGCTTTATAATTTATTGTTATATATTATAATAATAATAATAAGAATCATATCCAAAAATTAAAATCACATAACTAATTATGTATTTTTTTAATCCCTTGTTGCTTTAGTTAAAATAGAAAGTTACTTACATTATTTATTTTCATATAATAATGTTAATTTTAGATTTTATTATTCTTTAAACCATAAATAATATAAAAATAGTTAAGAAAATAAAAAAAAAAATTAAAAAAGAGGAAAAGACGTGTTTGCCTCAAAGGTATTGGCTGTGGTGAGGTTGGAAAGTCCTTTTCCATTTCCAACCCTTTTGTTTATTCCGCTTCTTTAAAGCACACTCAATCACCCAACAAGTTTGAAGGGCAGGATGGTCATTTCACTTCAATTAAAAATTTAAAAAACATATGGAACCCAATTAAGTCAATCATTAAATTAGATTCTTCTTTATAATTACAGGATAAACCAACAAACATTATTCAATAATTATTTAACAAACTCAATTTCCATTTGTTCAACAATTTATTTATTTTTATGCCTTTAAGTTGAGAGCACCAACTAAATAAAATAAAATAAATAAATAAAAAAAGGAGAGAGATAGACAACCACCTTATTCCTGTTTCTTTAAACCCAAGACATTGGGTTTCAAATTCAACCCTCTTCTGGTTGCTGCTGATTTGGAAAATTCTCTCTGTAGAAGAAGGAGAAAAGAGGGAATATGGACTGCTCAATCTGCAGCTCCTTGCCGGTGATATTGCGGCCGCCGCGGAATACCATTTGTGGGGCGTGCTACGACGGAGCTAAGTGTCTGATCAATCTCATAAACAAGCTTCAATCTGATAAACCAGTGAATAAAGCGACCATTAATGTTGCCTCCTCCTGCAAGGCAAGTTCTTCCCTTCTCAATTTTTTTCTTTGTTTCTAAATTGAGTTCATCACAAGTATGATATATATGGGCTTTTCTTTAAGGCCCAGTTTTTGTTAAATGGGCCGATGTTGTTTCATTTTAATAGAGAAATTAATTTTTAAAATATTAAATATCTCACGAATTTAAAAAATAAAATAAGTGGAATTCAAAAATTAATAATAATGGTTTTCATTTACGTTTGTTTGATCTTCTTCTGCAGACGCTCATGAATGCTTCAAAATGGATAATAGATTTGAAGAACAGAGAAGAAGAATTAGAAGAAAAAATCGTTTACCTCGGCGAGTTTTCGGCTGCTTTCCGCCACCGGATTCACACCGATATTGAACTCAAATCCGGCTTCGCCGCGTCCCGTTCCGTTTCCGCTCACAGAGCCCTACTGGTAATTGAATCCTCTTATCCATCAATCCGATCCAAATTCTTAATAATCGCTAAGAAATCGCTACAATTACAGGCGACAAGATCAGAAATCTTCAAAAACTTACTCGAATCGGACGGTTGCAAGGCGGCTCCAATAGAAGCCATTACGCTGCCGGAGTTAAGCCACGAGGAGGTGGAATCGCTCCTCGAGTTCCTCTACGGTGGCGATTTGGCGGAAGAAAAACTGGAGAAACACGTTTATTCATTGGCTCTAGCCGCCGATAAATACGATATTCCATATTTGCAGAAGTTTTGCGAGCGGTACATGTTTAGATCGATGAACTGCGACAACGCTCTGGATGTGCTGGAAATTGCAGAAGTTTGCTCGTGCAGAACGTTGAAGGAAAGCGCCTTGGATTTCATTGTTAGAAACATGGACGAAATCGTGTTCTCCTCTGGATTTGAGGCCTTCGCCCTCAAGAATCCCCATCTTTCCGTCCAGGTTACAAGAGCTTCATTAATGGACGCCAAGAAAAACAGACCCAATTCCGCTTGAATTCAATAGGTTTCTTTTTCTTGACCCAAATATTTAGGGTTTTTTTTTTCTTTTCATATTTTTATAAATTCTAAATATCATTTTCTAATTAATAATAATAATAAGACGCGCTTTTGCACAGCTGTCCTTGGTATGGTGACAATTGCAAAAAAGACCTTTTATTTTTGTATAATTAATTAAAAGTCACATGTGTGGATCATTCTCATAACCTATTTTTTTAATTTTGTAATCATTTAATAATACATTGATTACAGACCATATAAGTAAATTTAGTGATTTGTCCAGTGAATCATGTCATTATGAAATAATCAAATACTAACCTAGTATAAGATTTAATTATGTTATTATTATTGATGAACGCAATGTTCAAGATTTTGCACCGACCACGAAATCGTTCACCGTCCCTAATCTCATTCTTATAGGCTTAATAGGGTTTGTTCAGAAGCTTAATAATTTAATTACGTTCCACTGTCCTTTTCAATATGGGATTCCTTACCCATATAAAAGTCTATTAATTTATATATAGTATAAAGTAGAACAATTTCCATGTTTCCTGGAGATGAACTCACTCTCATATGCATATGTTGTGTATAATTTCCTTACTTAAATAATTACTCGTATTAATTCTTTTTAATTATCAAATAATTATATATTAACGATGGAATAACCGGCAATGCTTTACGGCATTCACGAGGGTTACTTATGATCTCATTAATCCATTAATCTTGGTTACTGATTTATTAATATAATAAAACAAATTAAACATTACATCTATAACCGCGAGAGAAATTCTATCTATGGATCAAAATTCCATTTTTTTTTAAACCACGACAAGGGTCGTGTTTGATCCCGAGAATGAATATGATATTGTCCACTTTGGTATTTGTCAGCTTCCCGTTTTAGACTTTCTCTCAGTGTTATAGAACCTATTTGATAGAAAGAGAGTTTCACACTCTTATAAAAAAAAAAAAAAAAGAGAGTACCCTTTTTGAATCGATGTGTGATCTCACTGATACCATTTCTAACATTCTAGCACACCGATTAGGGGAGGTTTCCACACCCTTATGAGGAATATGGGTTCCTCTCTCCAACCGATGTGGGATCTCACAGTCCAATCTTCGATGGCACACTTTCCACACCCTTATAAGGAATATGGGTTCCTCTCTCCCACCGATATGGGATCTCACAATCCAATCCTCGACGGTATACTGTATGGTGCCTGGCTTTGATACCATTGGTAACAGTCCGGCACGCCACCACACCACCCTGGCTTTACACTTTCTCTTTTGAGCTTTCCTTCAAGATTTGTATCTGTTAGTGAGAAGTTTCCAAATCATTGTAAGGAATGCTTAGCTGCCCTCTCCAACTGATATGAGATCTCACATAAGCTTTCGTAACTTCGTTTTGAATTTACTAAAAAAAGTTTCGTGCCAACGAAGATAGTATTTCTTACTTATATACCTAGGATTGTTTCTTAACTAGCTAACGTGAACTCGAGCGACAAACATATCATATGAGAGAGATAGGGAGAAGATGTCAGAAAATGGTAGCCAAAATGAAAATTTGTCGTGAATGCATACTCATTTCACGTGAAATGCCTTTTTGATGTTCAGAAAGCATGGCAATGAAAAAAACCAGTCTCTTCTTCTGCTTCGACCAACAATCCTCCAGCAAAGTAAAAAAAAAAAAAAAAAAAACATGAACAATAAAATTATACCCACAATTCTTGGAAACATACCCATTTCTTCATCATTCAAAAGCCTTTCTTTCTCTCTTTATTTCTACGTACCCTTTAATGATGAAATGATATCAGTTCTATAATGATGAAAAAGCTCCCACCTTTACAAACCCAAAACCAAAAAGCATAACAAAAACGGTTCCTTTTCGTACTTCCATCTCCAAAAATGACACCTTTCATGATTTTCAACAACCCATGCGCATGAATCTTATAGTGGGAGTTACCATGTTCATATCAATATTTTAGATTAAGCAATCGGTTGTTCCATTGATCACTTTTTACTGCATTACAATCACAGACAGGTAAGAACAAAACCAAAAAAAAAAAAAACAGCCGCAATTGGAATAAGCTGGAGAAATTAAGGATGTTTTTAATCTTGTTCACCGCTTTGGCTCCAGATCTTTATAGCTTGAACTACTGCTTCTTTCACAGATTGAGCATCAATGGCTTCTTCCCCTTGTTCCTCAATCTATAAAATTACAAACACCCATTTTAATCCACACATTAAATTGAATATCATATATTAAAAAAAAAAAACCCGACATTGAAGTGTATGATTAGATGGAAAATTCCATTACTTTAGGTAAATATTCTTGTTAAAATGAATGATTGATTTGACTTTATTGACCATGGAATAATAATAATAAATATATGTTTTTATAATGATGATGATTTATATGCATAATTATAGAAAGATGGGTGCTTGTAGTATCTTACTTCTGCAATAGCTTGTAATTGGAAACTATCTGTACAGGAAACCCTAGCTTCAAGAACATTCAGCCCCAGCTCTTCAAAGGCTTCTAATATCGACACGAGCAGGCCTTGGCAGCTCTTTTCTGAAAATACATTAATGGAAAACCCCTTTGCTAGGCTTTCCACTGTCACCTGCTAGAATGAACAAATGGGTATGTTTTTTTTTTGGTTGTTCTTGAATAATTGAAGGGAAAAAGTTGTTGTTGATTGAAGAAAATACCATGGGATGGATTGAAGTTTGAACGGTTGAGATATCTTGATTCAATCTTTCTACTTTTTGTTTAAGCTCCTCGATGTATTTTGATGCATCCACTATAATCGAGGCTTTGTTGAGCTGCTACACACATAAAAATCATAACTTTTTATGAATGAATTGAGAATCGAATCGAAGAACACGAAGAACACGAAGAACGCGAAGAACGCGATGAACAAAATGAAGAGAAAAAGAGAGGGAAATTACAGCATGAGAATTGGTAATAGAGCGAAGTAATTGGAGGTTGTGATGAAGAGATGCGTTGTTGTGCTCTCTAGAAACCATGGATGGATTGTAGCTTTTTTGTTTGTGTGTTATATGTTTCTTTTTCTTGTGTGTGTTTTTATAAGGGCATGGTGAGGCCTCAAATCTATACCAACTTGTGTTGGCTAGCTTCCTCTACAACCATATATATATATATATATAAGACATGATTTGAATTATACGTATAAGCTTCCTATTATTCCAGCAATAATGTTAAAAATGAGTATATAAAAGATGTGGGGGCAGAAATGAAAAGGGGCTCGTGATGGGAGTGAAAAAAATGGGCATCGAAAGAAGCAACCAAAAGGATGTTTAGTTGTGGGTTTTGAATGCCTCCAAACACTCCTCACGGGGGAGTTTTCATTTTGAATTCTCCATATTTCTTCTTCCTCTCTCTACACGTGCCCCTCCCTTCTGCGTTTCTTCCTTGCCTTCATGCTTCTTACGATCGTCATACCCTTCTTCTTCAATCTTCTTCCTAATTCATATCGTTAATCTCGTCATCCATACGTTCGTTTCGACGTAAAGTAATCTGTGTTTCGGAGCTTAAGAAGAACTTGAAGGAGAAAAGAAAACAATACTACTAGAGAGGAGAACGAAGCACCTTTTTTTAGTAGACGCGTTTTAAAACCTTGAGAGAAACCCAAAAAGGACAATATCTACTTCAAGCTATTACAACCCTAGCAAACGCGTTTTAAAAACTTTGAGAGGAGTTCGAAAGGGAAAGTTCTTGAGGGAAACCCATAAGGGAAAACCTAAAGAGGACAATATCTACTAAGGGTAGACTCAGGCTATTACAACCCCTTAGTAGACGCGTTTTAGCTCTTACAACCGTAGTAAATGCGGTTTAAAAACTTTGAGGGAAGCTCGAAAAGGAAAGTTCAAAGAGGACAATATCTGCAGTGGTGGGCTTAGGCTGTTGTTATAAATACACTTCGAGGTATCTATTCTCTATTCACATGTGTGCCCTTTAATCATTACAACAAAACAATACACACGACACACCAACCTCCTGTACTTCTACAAAATTTGTAGTACAATCCGATTCGATCCATAAAGTAAAATAATATATCATTTAACGACGTAAAAACGAGGGTTTCGATGTTCATATCAGGCTCTCTCAATCAATTTTAACCACGATATTGATTGGATTGAGCGTGACGGGATGCTTATCGATATATATATGATGAATTATGGAAAAAGAGGAAGGCAACAAAATGAACACAGATAAGCTCTTTGTCTGCACTTGTTTCGATAATAACACTAACGCCTATTATCACGACTGTTTCTTCAACAACAAAACAAACCCAGCTTGGAATTATAATTTTTAAAACTGCTCTTTTGTTTTTCCTTTGATTTGATTTTTCACATGCCTGCTTTGTTCTACAGTCGTCCACCCAGACACGATCCCCCTCGCCCCCGCCCCCCTCAATAATGCACGCCCCCAGACACTCCCCTTTTGATCATCATCTGCTTTGCTTTACTGGGTGGCTGGATTCAAGGATGTTCATACTGTAAAATGACACTAAATTTGTCACAATATAAGATTGAAACAAACAAAAGATACCCTTTAATTCTAATCTTGACATAAACCTTAAAAAGCTTTCAAAGAAAAGGTCAACAATACAACACTTTACAACTTTACAACTCAACTTTCGATGTTAAG